AGCCATGACGAACCATGTGAATATAATACTTGCGGCATTCTATGATTCAATTCCATTTACACGATCAACAGTGCCGGAATGCAGTTAGAATAAATCACCTGGATGTCACAGATTCACATTGCACATCATAGTCACTACAAGACCCACAATTACAAGTACACCAGCATGTTGTGACCTTGCACTGGTCACTACCCATGGAATCAGTCAAATATCTGAGATACAAAAGAAAGTGCAGCAGACTATTCAAGAAACACTCGCCAAACTGCATATGACAGAAGAATGGAGTATTTTGCTTTATTCTGAATTAGTGGAGCTAAGGTCTTAGCTCTTTGCTGTGAAGAGAAAAATGAAAGTTCAAGAGGAAAAAGCTGAATTACTAGCTCAGGATAAATCCAGTGCCATCTCAGAAGATGAACGCTTGAAGGGATACCTGCGCTTCGCTCACAAAGATGAAGGAACAGCTGAAAGACAAAGAAAAAAAGTAGAGAGAACAAGTTAGAGATCATCAATCCAATGAAAGGAATCCCGGTTTACAGGAAGATCTAGAGCAACTCACATATAGAACAGATCAGACTCAGCAGGAGCTGCTACTAAATCTTTGGCTTGAGCTCAAAATAACTCCAGAGAAAATGACAGACCTGCAAAAACAGGTGGAGATGCAAAGTACACACAAGGAACTACAAATCACTCATGAGACAGTACTTTCAGAAATAAATGCCAGCCATAAAGATTTCAGTGATTCTGTGCTACTCTGGTGAAATAAGACAAGCAGAACACAGGGGTACCCGAAATGGTACTGAAGCAGCAGGTGGAATCAGCAATCACTATAGCAGCAAAAGAAAATGTAAAGGAAACAGAAGTTTAGAAACGGGGCAGGTATTAGAGCACGTTGTGAAGGAGAAAATATACTGGACCAGTTGAAGGCTAAAATTTTAAATCCAGGGTATAAACACAGAAGCTTCAAAATGAGCTTCAAGTGCTAAAGATACAAGACAAGTAAATGGCATGAAGATTCAAACAACTCAAAACAGCTTGAGGAACAGAATGAGTCAGTGGCTAATCTGGAGTGAAACTTAGCTGAAGTACGTTAGCAACTTCTGGGATGGCACAACAGTCCATGGGAAAATAACATGACAACATAAAAGGAATGACATGCAACATCACTCATATCTGTGGAAATCCACAGCACCTCCAGACAAGGTCACCATCATGAGATCTGGACTTGTTAGAAATTACTTGTAAGTTACAGAGTCTCATAGATTCAGTTTTTATTCTGATTAGTTAAACTTTCTTTTAGAAAGGAGAGGGATTTAGTGTTTATAACTTGCCTTTGGGAGATATTATTTTTAAGGACTCCATGTTTCGTGCGTGTACAATGTTTCGAGTCTACCTGAGAGTTAATGACCTTGTCATGGAGCTATACCCTTGGCTGTAGAGAAGGGAGGACATATTAGTAGTATTCATGTGGAAGGTGACATCATCACAACAATGCGACAAAATGGAGAAAGTATGAGACTGGAGTTCTTACAGCAAATGGGTTGGGAGGAAGTGTAGCCAAAAGTATCCATGGAAATCAACAAGCTTCGACTATACTGTAATGTTAGTCATATCTGGAACTTGTCTAATTTCCTTTGCCGTACAAGTGAGAATATTTGCTGTATTTCAAGGACAGCTCTAATATAGCTCATTCTTGAGTCATTGAGGCCACATTTATGACTCTAGATATAAATAAGCTGTGAGAAGACCGTCAGAAAGAAATTTGCATAAATAAGTAGGTGAGATGTGCTGCATTGCTTCATTGGAAACTCAAGGTGAGGCTTAAAGACAGATGTAAGACATTAATCTATTTTTTTAGCCCTTACATGTTTGTATTATGATCTATGCCTGCCTAATTTGGTTTAAGTAGTAGCCAGCACATTTTGTTTACCATTTAGCAAGAGTCTTTAGGCTCAGTGTTACTGGAGTCTTAATCCTGCCTAAGCATGAAGCAGCAATGGCTGCAGCCCCGTTGTCTGATGTGTTGTGAATGAAGCCGCTTTCTGTCAGTAACATGTGGTCTCTTCACTGGAGAGCCCTGTGTAAATCCTGAGTAAATAGAGGGAGCCTAACAAAAGATGAGCCCCTGCAGCTCAGAGCATTTGGAGCCATTTGGGGGTTGAATGTGCTAAATGCTGCTTATACCGCCTGAAAAGTTGAGGAGAAAGGAACGTAAAATCCTTTTTTCTCTCTCTCTCTCTCTCTCTCTTTGCTTTGGCCTGGGGTGGTGGTGGGAGGGGTGGGATGGGGGTGTTGGGTTGCACGGAGAGGGAGGTTGTTTTAGCCAGAGAAGCCTGAGGTAAGCCTGTAAGGAATGATTTTTAGTGCTCCTTTGAGTGTAAAGAAGGTGGTATGGGTCACTGTCTCCTCTTTAACGTAGGAAAACCCACGCAGTTCGTAAATGTTGCATGCAACAAAAGAAAGTGCAGCTGTTATACAGGACTCCAGTCCAGTAGGCCATGCCCTACTGAATATCTGGTCACTTAAAAATAAATCTTTCAAAAATTCTATGTTAGCACAGAGGGCATGCAGCACAGCAGGATAGAAAGAGAGTCCAGTAATTAGAGGTTCAGGTATTGGCTGTTCAAGGCAAATTGAGAGGCATTTTATGTAACACCACTTTGATAAATTTTAACCCATGCCAAGACTATAACATTATCTTATAGCCAAAAATATCTTGTTACAAAATAATTCAGTAAATTGTCAACATGTTATATTTACCACACAGCTAAAAAGACCTCACTAATAACAGGATTTGATATATTTTCAATTCTATTAAATTGATAGCCTATTACAAAGGTTTCATTTGAGATAAAGATTGATGCAGCTAACAATTTTGACAAATACTAAATCCTAACACGTTTATTTTTATTAGTTCATTTCCCTTCTTCCTCATCTTATTTTCTAATATGCACACATACTTCTGATGCCAACCTCTTTTTTTAGGCATAGAATATTCCTCTCCCCAGGCACAGCTTTCCAAAACTGCCGTAGGCTATAACGCAGCACCTCAGATCCCCAAGGCCCAGTGCCTGGCTCCTAATAGCCATTCTCCATCTGTGTCACATGGACAGATGATGAGACATTTCCAGTTTCTGTTTTGGAGTGTACATCCACACAGGTTAAAATGCCATAGTTGCCAAGGAACAGTCATAAGCCATTAGCATTTGGGAAAACTTGCCCTGCAGCATTCCTTCCTGGCATTGTGGAAGCATGGTGTAAATCACCAGCCCTCTGTGCTCGGCAATTGTAATGAGGCTGTGTGAATGTTTCTGGTCCAGCATCATTTTTATGATTATTTCCACCTTTTTGGCTCCCCGTCATGATTCACATTCACAGAGAGGTAGCAAAAGTTAGTAGTAGATGAAGGGTTGTGCACTGACATTTGTGCAGATGGAGGGAGCTGTGCTGCCTTGGGGCTGGGTGGCTGTAATGAAGTGGCTTGTCAGTCTGTAAATACTGGGGTCGCCTCTTCGACGTGATGGAGGGTATCACATTGCAGTGAAAATGGAAACGTCAATAAAATTAATCTGCCAACTCTTTGCTGTGGGTTTTTTTTTAGCGTCTGCAGCCAGAGAGGTAGAAAAAATTAACTTACGTAAAAGTTGCCAAGGAGAAGGCCTTTGTTTAACCTAAGTGTTCAGTGCCACCTACCCTCTGATAATCATATTACTAGAAGACAGTAGTAGAATTAGCTTCTGCATTTGTAACATTCCTCAGGAAGCTATGCAGCTCTGGCAGTGTTGAGTCCTAAGTTTATTGTTTTAGGCTTTTCTGAACAAGGTTTTTACTTAGCATGGGATTTATGGCATTTACTGCTAATGAATGTCTATTCTTAAATTACAAAACCCACAGTCTCAGCGCAATTTCCAGATGTCCTTCCAGGACCTCAGCTTCTTAAACATCAGCAGGGAGCATAAACTCTACACTTCTCTGTTTTCTTCTTTCGTGTGGCTTTAGGCTAATGATGTGCAAGAGAGAAACATAGCCATTGAATAAAAAAAAGGCCCGATGCTGTTTCAGTATCCTTCATTTATTTTGCATTTGATTATACTTTCTTTCTTCTTTCTTTTTAATGTTATTGGTTCAAATATTAATGGGAAAATATGGTATATATAGGTGCTCTGATTGATGCCTCTCAAAAACAGGAAGACAAGCACATATGAATTTTAAGAAAGTACGAGTCCAGGATTGCCTTGGTGCAGAGTTTTTTTAGATACATAATTTAGATGCCTTCTAGGCAGGCTTTCAAGGCATTTTTGCCTGAGGGTAAAGAAAAATAACTATGACTGTTAAAAGTAAATGATTTTTGCTAATGCACAATTAATGCAAGGAAAAGCAGAACAGTGGTGAGAATGGATGGAGGTAACTCCTGATTTAAAGAAGGCACCTTGCCTTGATATATACCAAATCCTCATAAGTATTAGAGTCGTAAGCACTGATGCAGGGAGACAGAGGGTGTCATCCCATACAGATGCATTGGGGGAGGGGTGTGCTGATGAACTGTGGTCTGTTCTGTGCAATGAGCCATGACATAGTTACTCTCACCTTATGCAAAATCCCTGTAATGTTCAGACTTGTTTTAAGTAATCATCTATGTTTCGTTCGAAAATCTGCTCTGAAGCCATCCCCTATATTTAGAGTGCAAAATGAAATCAAAACAAAATTATCATTGCATTTTTAAACGGAATATAAATTTAGTTGACAGAGTACGACTTCTCTCTGTCAAAAGCATGGCAATAATTGAATTAATGATACTTGTGTGTTCATGTGAAGTTTATCAAAACAGGATTGGGAGATGTAGTGCCTTGCATTAAATATAACAGTCCAGTATTTTAATGAGAAATGTTATCAGCTTGCATTATCCACAAATCAGCGTGAATCAAATTTGATTGCTTTTGCTTGTTATTTGCAGAATGCGCACCATGTGTAAATTTTTGCTTTCCTTTGTTCTGTGATTTCAGGTGACGGGTTAGACAACAGTGTGGCCTCACCGGGCACAGGTGACGATGATGATCCGGACAAGGACAAAAAGCGACAGAAAAAAAGAGGCATTTTCCCCAAAGTAGCAACAAATATCATGAGAGCGTGGCTCTTCCAGCACCTCACGGTATGTGCAACGTAAAGAAATTCTATGTTGGTTAACACCGAAGTTGATTTAAATGCTGTCTAAAGTTAAAGAGAAAATGTTTCTTTATTTTGTGAACATCACACTCCACTTTGTGTCAATTTTCAACTCATTTTGGTGTGTGGTAGTATAAATATGAAACATCAAGCCTTGCTCAACATTTTAGATTTTAATTTGTTTTGTTTTTCTCAAATATTTTCTAAAAAATCACTTCATGAGAGAACATGACAGGAATTTTGGAGGCTAAGAGGGGTGGGAATTAACGAAGGCAGGCAAGTGATTTCACACTGCCAACCAGAGATGACAAGGTGTAGAGCTGGATGAACACAACAGGGCAAGCAGCATCAGAAGAGCAGGAAGGCTGATGTTTCGGGCCTAGACTTCTGAAGAAGGGTCTAGACCCGAAACGTCAGCCTTCCTGCTCCTCTGATGCTGCTTGGCCTGCTGTGTTCATCCGGCTCTACACCTTGTTATCTCAGATTCTCCAGCATCTGCAGTTTCTACTATCTCTCTCACACTGCCAACCAGTTTGCTGTCAGCATCCATGCCCAAGACCTTATCAGGAAGGCTGGGTCTGGGTTGGAAAGACTACCTGCTTACAAGTAAATATTGGATATCAAGTTAAGCTGATTAAGGGATCAATTAAGGTCTCTTTCGCCTTGCAGACTGGAATTGTCCTGTCAGTGGGCAGGTCCCACACAGCAGCTGAAACACAGCCATCTAAACAAGATAGCCTTGAGGTGAGGCTATATTTCATTTTGCTCAGGACTACCTGATAAACATCATGGTGTTTGAGCCACAGGTATGGCCACTGAATAAGTTGTCCCACCACCAACATGACCAAGCAGCTGTGACCTTGTAAAGCTTTTTTAACCATCTCTTCTGAAGACAGCTCCATTATGAGGCACTGTCTCTCTTCACTATTCCTTTTGGCAGCTCCAATCTGAGAGAGTAGGGCTGTTGAGGAGTCATCACTGGATGGTGACCTATTGGCCCTGTGGTTCCAGAAAACTGACTGCTCCTCCATCTTTAATGGGACAGCAAGTGTGCCCCCTGGCCACTACTTGTCAGCTTACAGCTCCCAACACAGTGTAAGGTCAAGACCCACGTTTGACCCTGACTTTGACGACCTGAACCAAAGTGGAAATCCTGCCCCATGTTTCTAAACAAAACAACAGAATTACTCTCTCTGCCCATATGTATACGGTCTTCAAAACAATGCTGTCTGTTCTGACGATTAGATCATAAGACCATAAGATATTGGAGCAGAATATGGCCATTCAGCCCATTGAGTCAGCCCAATCATGGTTGATGTATTTCTCAACCTCATTCTCCTGTCTTCTCCCTGTAGCTCTTGATCCCCATACCAGTCAAGAACCTATCTATCTCTGTCTTGAATAGACTCAATGATTTGGTGTCAAAAGCGACAATAAGTTCCACAGATTAATTATTGTCTGGCTGAAGAAATTCCGCCTCATCTCAGTTTGAAAGGGTCAAGCCTTCACTCTGAGACTGTGCTCTTGGTTCCTAATCTCTCTTTTTATTTTATTATTCATTCTTGGCATGTGGGTATTGCTGGCCGGCATTGTCTCCTTCTGATGGTAACATCTTCTCCACGCCCACTATACTCAGGACTGTCAGTATTCTGTAAGTTGCAGTCAGAACCCCGTCATCGTTTTCCATTGAGTACAGACCCAGAGTCCTCAACTGCTCCTCATATGACAAGTCCTTCACCTCTGAGACCTTTCACGTAAACCTCCTCTCGACCCCCTCCACTGCCAGGATAATCTTCCTCAGATACAGGATATCTGTTCAAAACTGCTGACAATATTCCGAATGTGGTCTGACCACAGCCATTTTACAGCCTCAGCAATAGATCTCTGCTCTTGTAGTCTAACCCTCTTGAACTGAATGTTAACATTGCATTTGACTTCTTAACTGCTAACTGAACCTGCATGCTAACCTTAAGAGAATCTTGAACTGGAACTCGTAAGTCCTTTTGTGTTTCAGATTTCCAAAGCCTTCCCCCATTTAGAAAATAGTTTCCGCCTTTATTCTTCCTGCCAAAGTGTATAACCTCACACTTTCCCACATTGTATTCCATCTGCCACTTCTTTGTCTACTCTCCTAGCCTGTCCAAGTCCTTCTGCAGTCTCCCTGCCTCCTCAACATTACCTGTCTTTCCACCTATCTTTATGTCATTTGCAAATATAGCAACAATGCTCTCAGTTCCTTTGTCAAATCATAACGTATAATGTGAATAAATGTGGTCCCAACACTGAACCCTGCGGAAATCCACTAACCACTGGCTGCCATCTTGGAAAAGACGCCTTTATCCTTATCTCTGCGTTCTGCCAGTCAGCCAATCCTCTGTCCATGCCAGTACCTTGCCCCTAACATCACGGGCTCTTGTCTTATTGCTGGTTATATTGCAAACAGCACTAATTTCTGATTCAGTTTCATTAACCCCTAAAAAACAGCTTTCAGGTAATTTTATTATTAAGGTGACATTGTGGAGGTTTATAAAATCACAAGAGCGTAGATAAGGTGAATAGCCAAGGTCTTTTCCTCAGCTTAGGAGAGTCCAAAACTAGAGGGCATAGGTTTAAAGTGAGAGGGGAAAGATTTAAAAGGGACCTGAGAGGCAACCTTTTTGCACAGAGTGTGGTGCGTATACGGAACGAGCTGTCAGAGGAAATGGTAGAGATGCATACAATTACAACATTCAAAAGACATTTGGTCAAGTACATGGATAGGAAAGGTTTAGAGGGATACAGGCCAAACTCAGGAAAATGAGACTACTTCAGTTTAGGAAACTTGGTCAGCATGGAAGAATTGGGCTGAAGGGCCTGTTTCCATGCTGTATATCTCTATGACTCTATTTACAAGGTTACTAACTATACCCATAGCGTAAGGAGAATCTTTGATGTTAAGTTGAGTTTTTTCATTAAAACCAATGGAAAAGTAGAGGTATTCCCTACCAGCCAGTCTTAATTTTTATTCCAAATTTGAGATGATGCATGGCTGTGTCTTAGGTTATGTTTCATGTTGATATTAAAGTATGAAGACTCTAAGCATAAGCAAAATCCATTTAAGATTCTTGCACCAATTTTTAAAATGCAGAAGAATTGCTAATACTAGAAGCAACATACGTTCACGTTAAAAAGAAAAAGAACATCTTCACTTATTGTGCCTTTTCAACTAAACAAAAGATCGTGGGTTAGCCATTCCTTGGTGCATTCCATATGGCAGTACTTTGACCAATTAGAGTTGAATTGTTTGAACTTAAACAAAAGCCTGACTGTTACTTGATGCATTCTCCATGGCAACACCTCTACCAATTACAGTCCAGTTGCCAAGCAATCAGCACCCTCCTTTCATGCTGTATGAATTGCTGTTCCCTTTGAGACTTGATATTCTTGTGATTATGTCCTGATGAGTGCAAGGTGAAAAGCTTTGATTGCATTTCTCTTTTTCAGCAATATTATAAAGACACTAAAGTTTTGTTAAATCCTCTTTTGGGAACAATCTAAAATTAGAGGACAGAGTTTCAAAATAAGGAGGAAGGCTGAACTTTTCCATAAAAAGAATTCCTACAGTGTGGAAACAGGCCCTTCAGCCAAACAAGTCCACACTTGGAGCACCCCACCCAGACCCATCCCCCCATAAGCTACACACTATGGGTGATTTAGCATGGCCAATCCACCTAGCCTGCACATCTTTGGACTGTGGGAGGAAACCCACGCAGACACGGGGAGAATGTGCAAACTCCACACGGACAGTCACCCAAGGGTGGAATTGAACCCAGGTCCCTAGCGCTGTGAGGCAACAGTGCTAACCACCAAGCCACCGTGCTGCCCAAGTGATAGAACTCAACTTAACACCCAAGTGTCAATTTTGGTGAGTTTCACAAAGGGTTTGTCTGTGAGGCCTAGTGAGTATTCTCATTTCCTAAAGTTTGTATCATTACCTATGCACCACACCTTCAATGGCACCCCACAGTAGGTGGGAAAATTGGCAACAGCAGGAACTGCCAGGATTCCTGGTTCCAATGTCACCTTTAAAGCTCAGCCATGCACTGGGTCAAGCGCTGACAATCTGCAGCTGCTCTGCACGGTTTCTGCCATTTACCATGGATATGTTGGGGAGAGGGAAATTGGCTGTCCACTTTGCCAACAGGAACCTGGAGGTCCTGTCAAATGGAGGTGAATGTGGTCACTACCCATGAAGCATGTAATGAGGTGTTGGACTGATGGCGGTCTGGAGGAGCAGGCGGTAAGCTGAAGTTGCCAATTTGCTGCTCCGACTTCCATGTCGGGAATAGACACCTTCTGGTTTGTCTCCGGTGAGTGGGAAAATGGAAGACTCTGTGTCAATGAGGTGAAATGATGTAATAAAGAGGATGCTAGTGCATGCAAATGAACAACTCACCACTCACTGTTCATTACATCATTGGGAATTGGAACTTCTTTGCTCTCAACATCAGGAATCTCTTTCCTGCTGATCTCATATGACTCTTCCAAATTTCTTGCCAGTGCCACATTATTTATTGTTTGGGAACCTTCCACCTGGGGTCTTCCATTTAAAACAGAAATGGAGAGGAATTTCTTATCCTAGAGGGCCATTACTGTTTGGACTTCTCTGTCACAACGAGCAATGAAGGCAGTTCAATATATTCAAGACTGAGTTTGACAGATTTTATTTGACAATGGAATCATAGACTATGAAAGTCAGGTGAGATCATGGAGTTAAGGCCACATCAAATCAACTTTGGTCTTATTGATCAGGCTTGAGGGGCTGAGCAGACTACTTTGGCTTCTATTTCATACGTTCTTTTTCAGCAGGAGTTCAGCCAATACACTAGATATTGGCCATTCAGTTTCTGACTGAAATAACCATCAATTTTAGAGGAGGCGGCTGGGATAAGGTAGGGGTAAGAGAGTGGATGCAGTGGTTGAGTGCCACATGCAGTGTCACGGGTA